ACGTGCATGAGAACTCCCTATAACGGTCCTCTATGCCGACGCGTGTTTACTATCCTATTTGGCAGGAGATTGTACGTCGCTGTTTGGCGGTTCTCAACCCCCGTAGAGACTTTCAAGGACCGAATTAATGGGTCTGTAAGTATATTTTTAACCACACGTATCAATTACGGATCAGTGCAAAGTGTCATTCAATGGGTGCATATTTAACTTGTAGTGTAATATTAAGGTTCAAGACATTTCTAAGTTTGGTTAAAAAAAATTATATAAATTCTATTGTTGATTTGACTTTGGAATTGTCGAATAATAATAAGTAAAAAAAATAATTACATTTATTTGTGTTGTTAATGTTATTGTCTGTGAATAACTACAAAACATTTTATTTCTTTTTAAGTAAATGTATTAATTAATCAGTTTAGATAAATAAAAGATACCTTAGCTAGGTTAAAGACCAAAGTCGACTAACGGTTTCCTTAATTGACTAACTCCAAACTTGAGAAAATATTAATAAAGATAGAGAATAAAAATTAATTTATATAATCTATACACGATATGAAACCTAAACTATCTATTAATTCATAATCTCTTTGAAGGGTTATGACAGATATAACTTCTCATTCTTGGATCCACCATTGTTTATGTGGATAATTTAATTGATCTAATGTTTCCTCTCGGTTAAAAATTTTAAAATATCAACTATTTCATTTTCTCAGATTTTGTCGTGATNTAAAAATTTTAAAATATCAACTATTTCATTTTCTCAGATTCGTTTTGTCGTGGTCTACACTGAGAAAATGTCTATAGCATTCAAATAGAATATAGATAATTTTAATGATAATATAATAATAACACTAGTAATCATTACTAAGTAATGTAAAGCTTGTCAAGTGATATTTTATTGTATCGGTTGGATTATTAATGTTATTAAACACTTTGTAGAAGAATTCTTATTGTCGTGAATAAAACATAAACATTATCATTATTACAGTAAGGTATCATAAACGCCGCACCCATATTCGATGGTATATTACCCATTCTTTCGGTGGTAAGAGCCGAGAATCATTAAATTATTAATAATGCGTGTTTTTTTTTCACCTATCACGTGGCGTTTTATTAATATTAATTTTTACCAAATAACTCAACGGTGTTAAAAAACACTATGTTTTACACACACAAACACACGTCCCGGAAAAGACTAAACGCACAATTATCACATAAATCAGCCGCGATAATAACCCTACAGGTCACAATTGTGTGTTGGACAACGGCCGCCGAACTGGTCGAGGTATTTTATAGGAGAATTGAAAATTATAACGGGCGGGGCGCACCCGGAGGACGTGGTGTGATGTGGTCAGTGGTAGTCGCACGCTTCTAGTAAATAAAACGGAGGTCGAAGCGAATAAATCACACCAGTTGCTCAACAACAAATCAAAACCGCAGCCGGGTAATTGTATTTTTATTGCCTTCAGTATGGGTTATTTATTTATGCTCTCGTGTAAGCTGTTATTAGTTTTTTTCCTCTTATCATTTATAGGCTTAGACTTCAACTGGACTGTATATTTGCTCAGTAACTTTGTAACCATCCTTGGTCATTTCCTTGTACTCCGGATGATCACAACACAGCAATTCATTTAACCTATAAAGTTTTCTATTTGGGTTCTCTCCGCGGTGGGATTTATGGACGAAAACCCGCACCGCAAATTCTGCCGAGGGTAACAATTATAGATTGTTTGCTGCAAGCACTCTATATTAAATCTAATTGGTAAATTGTAGTACTTATCAGAATATTCAAGAAATGTTGACTCTTCTACGATAAATTGATCACGATCATCATTTTAGTAGAACATTATACGAATTCCGAGATGGGATTAAAATGCAATACTTTTGTAACAGTCAAAAGTACAATATAAGTTTGTCGGTCTCGTTTGACAAAAAGTGTCGATCACCTTCTATTATTCATTGCAGTCGTATCCTGCATAAGTATTTATAGGCACATAACAACCACGAAGTATAGGTGTAAAAACTTTAAATCATACACTTCACGACGTGCCTCGGCCAATGTAAATATTATATATTGTTTGTATGCAAACGCGCGCGCCAGCTTATAATTTATAAACGTATTACGTTTAACACCAGACCACCCCTGGGCTACGTACTGTACAGCCCGTCCAGGTTGTCAAATAAATCTGTTTTTATAGCGAAATCAACCTCCCCGTACTTCTCAACGCAATCATCTCGACCGAAGATATTTAAACAAATGTACATAATATAATATTATTGTTGTTATTATTACACGACGGTGATAGTGCAGTTTAAGTACAAGAGTTCTGTCGTATAATAATATACAGTATTAGGTATAATAATTTTCATGAGGAATAGAGCGCATGCTGGGCATCGAGTGTCAAAAAACAACTTGCAGACCTTAGAAAATAAAATAAACGAGTGTTTCTTACAGAATTGTTTTCTGCGCGTAAGAAATTTCTTATAAATATTCATTAAATTTATTTTTATCGACACCTATTAGCAAATTATAGAATTGATAATTTTTTATTTAATTACATAGCTAAAAACACGCCAATGCACTTATTGAATACATTTGTATAGAATTATTTATCATAATAATTTACGCATGTTTTTTTTTATTATTAATTTATGAAAAATTTAATTTGAGAATTTAACGACGGTTTCAGCATTTTTTCACACATTAGCATATGTTTTGAACATAAATTCTTTGATAAAAATTAATGCACACAAATGGTTTAAAGGAAAATACGCAATGCGTATTATTATTGTACTATAAAATAATTTCCTGAAATGTGTATATTGTGAACAAAATTACTTTTATATTTTTACTTAGATCGTGTAGTGACCACAAAGAGTTTACTGACAGTACACTAATGATTGAGGAACGTTGCTAAGGTAACTGCTTTTGAAGAGGACCCTTTGTATTCTACACCTATTTATTTGTGTGTATCCTATTATAAAATAACCCTCGTTTAGGTAGGGGTTGTTGGATAAACAAAGCGTTATCGATCAATATTGCAACGGGCTGTTATAATAACACAGTTACAATTTTATGCAGATATTGACAATTTTTTAGAATTATTTATTTAAACTATTGTCTTATACGATAAGATCGTAAAACATTTCTATCCTACTCTGACTATTGAGAAAGCTAAATTAGATTTCCCCTCTCACTAAAAATATGTGAATATCGAATACACATTATTTTGTTAATTTTTGAGAAGGGCTAATTCTTAAACATGCAGGTAAGTGTCCACTATCCTACATTTATTATCTTTACCACGCCATTATATTCATTCTCAATGAACACTTTTTGCAGTCGCATAATTAACAGAGAATTTTAATTTTAAGGTAGTTGATATTGTCTATCTAAAAATATTCTTAGGAACGTTTCTATTTTTAAATACATTTTATTATTGAACCATGACAATGGTTTATTTATTGACAATTACAACCGGCTAAATTGTATTTTATTGAGTTATATCTTTACAAACAAATAAATATATTTACACTTAACCTACAAATCAATATGCCTTTTAACTGACGATTGATTGATCAGTTGAACCAGCAGGACAATTTAAAATATTGAAAATAAATAGAATACAAAAGAAGCTAGCTAAGAAAAACAATAAAAACGCCTACTCAAAGCAAAAAATAGTAATAATAATGTAAAGAAGGATGTAATAAGTCTCCCATCATTTCAGAAATAGTTGGACACATCATTTTATGGAAGAAGTAGGAAAAATAATATAAATGATAAATGGCAAATTAGTGAAATACAAGGGAGGAAAAAAAATCGCTAGGATTGACCACCAAATTGAGGTAAATTCTACATAAGATAAAACCTTAGGAATTGGTACTACTTCAATACTCAAGATTATAAATATTTTTCAAACACTATTGTCCTCACTAGAATCTATAACTGATAGATAATTTTAAAATATATTATTTTAATAGCATTATATAATGCACACATTAATACACAGGAGCCTAAAAAGTAGCTAATAATAAGTTAGTTGGTAGAGTTTTAGAGAACAATATTAATGTTAAAAAAATAAATCAAAAGAGAAATAGAGAATTCGACTAACCGGATTCGGAAATAAAAAAAGAAGAAGAAGAACTTAACCTTAATCTTAAAAAATCCGCTTTGAAAGAGACACGTTCATAAATATTAATAACATAGAAAAACATACAATAGCCATTATGTTATAATTAGTTTAATACTATTGTTTAAAAGTATATTTTGGTTACAATTTTTAAAATTTTTTTTAGTATTCATGGATTTTAAAATACATAAATCTATTTGTTTATTGAGATTTCTTATTGATGAATTTATATTATACAATTATAACATCGTTTTGAAACATTATTTTATATTGTATTTAACATATAGACATCATATTTATACAAATCATTTAATTAGCTATCGACTTAATTTTTGAATTTCCACGTTTCAACATAGAACTACTATTCGTATATATTTAATACTCAATTTATAAAAATTAATTTTGAAACTCTATTTATTCATATTCATGTTTATAGTTATATTTAGTTCTAAATTACATTGTGAATTTCTTATTTGTATTTTAGTTCATTCATTCAAACCATCGTTAAGAAGCTTGGCTTCTCTTATACATCAAAATTCAGACGCATCTTATTATTTTATAGAAAAATTTTCATTTTAAAGTTGGGAATATTTTTAAAAGAAATTAGTATCTAAGAATTTAGATTATATTTTAATTTGTTCAGTTTTAAGTAATATCAGAATAAAATGTTTATTTCGTTGATCACTAACCTTTGTATTTTTTTTTAAATAATCATAATATTAGGAGAAATCAACGATAAATCAATCACTCTGTATATCACTATCAAATATTTATAATATATTTACTAAACTTATAAATCTTTAAAACATTATTTTTATATCAGCTTTTATTTACACAGCCAAATGTATTATTGTTAAAATGAACAAAGAAAAATGTTTTATCTCTATTGAGCAATTGAGATGCATCCTTTTACGAATTTTACTTTTTTAGTACCGTCGGATATCTAAGTGAAATTGATCCAAAAAATGATTGCAATATTTAAAACGTTATTTTTCTCTATAGTATGTCATTATTCATTTGTTTGCAGCTTATTTGAGTGGTCTGGTTTTCCTATTTTTTTACATAATGTATGTACTTTTCTTCGAAATATAAAAAAATATACAGAGTGTTTAATAAGTAAGGAAAAAGGTCAATTTATTATAAACAATGAGAACTTTCCTACTTACCGAACACTTATATATATAATTTTGGAAATAATACTTATTTTTGCTATAAACATATTAAACTATTATCATGAAAATTTATTTTATAAACTATATTTGACTTCAATAATAAAATATAAAAATAATTTTTGTTTTATAGATCAACTATAATTTCATTAATTGCCGATTAGTATACGATAAACATTTCTTAGATGTTTTTCATAATTTAGAAACTATGGATGGCAAAACAGTCGAGCTAAAAATTGATGAAATTGATTTACTGAAGACTGAGATTAGTCCAACTAATGATCTAGCTATGAAAAAAGAATTAGCAATAGCTAAGTATAAAATGAAAATGCAAAGTGTTCAATGTACCTACGGTGTGCTAATTCGTTCAGAATTAATATTTCTACAAAATGTACTATTTAAATTGCAACACGAATCTCACATAAAAAATTTTATTCAACCATATAAAAAACGTGTTGTTGAAATGTTTTTGGTTTTGTATGCGAGTAAAACAGTTCCCCATTCATGGCTATGGACTTATTATACTAAATTGGCTGCCTTGGACGAGTGCAACGATAATATAAATGCCACACTTGATGTTTTGTTTAATGATCAGAATCTAAATGTTGAGTTAATGAATTTTATTACAGAATGTTCAGGTAATAATTATTTACTAAGTGAAGAGGAAAAAGAAGTTGACATATATCGGGAGTTATCGTTGCTCTCTAAATCAAAACCTCAACTCGTTATTATTCCTTTGACAAAAAGTGAAGGTTTTAGTTCTTGGAATGAATTTCAACACTATTTTAATGTAAAAAATATGTTTCTAGTTGATTTTAAACCAGAATGTATAATATTTGAAGATTTAAATGGCATTCAAATTAATTGGACAGTAGAAAAGCAAAAGCTAGTTTCATTAAAAAATAGTTGTATTGAAAATTTCAATTCTCGCGTATGGATAAATAACCCTTTTATTTGCAACGATTATCACAATTTTGTATTGTATATTGTTCAAGGTAGATTACTTTTATATTCTTGGATACACTTACACAATTATTATGTCTTGTCAACGTCAATATCATTAATAACTGATACAGATTTGAAACAGCAGTTAGAAAAGAATTTGGTAGAATTGACTTCTGAGTATTATGCCACTTATGTAAATGCATTGAATTTTTGGAATATTGATAAAACATTATTCTGGAAAATTTCACTTTTAATTTCTTACGACGAAAATAGGTTTATTGATGATATTTATAAAGCCAAAAAAGAACTGTTAGAAATCATAGATAGAGGCTATATTAATGTGGGTCATCAAAATGTGTTACAGAATTTGAAAAATGCTTTTAATTATAAACACAAAGAATACAATAAAATTGTGTCTTTATTAAAAAGTAATATAGACGCTCTCAAAAATGAAATTAGTGAAATGCGACAGAAGTTCAATCATGCTGATATTTATTTATTGAATTTTTTTTCTAAAGGTGACAACGAGTCAACATTTTATACAAATCCATCTATCAACTAAATATGTATATTTTTTAATATCCTTAAAAATGTTTATAAATTTATATAAAATTATATGTTTAATTCATTATACCATATTTAATGTAAAATGAAATCAAGAAATAGTGTATAAAGCGAGTAAAAAATATGTTTTTGTTCCAATTCTTTAAATTATAGTTATTTACATAAAAATAATATGTGTAAATTTATAAATGTGTGTAACAGAATTTTCTATTGTGTTTTAACTCTGAACAATTACTTTTGAAATTAAATAAATGACGTACGGTTTAAATACACACGAACTTCTTTATTTCAACTTTATACAGGATGTTCAGTAAGGAAACAGGTCAATTGTTACAAACAATGACAGCAAATGAAACCCATTTCCTTACTTATAGAACACTCTATATATGTAGTAATTAACACAAAACAATATCAGGTTGGTGTCTATTTCCTATTAAATTTGTAATGATACGAACACTTCCCCTATTTAATTAATATATATTAATCATGAATATACAATTCATAGTTATAACAATACAATTTTCAACAATACAGAAGCAATAATCACATCTGTATATACAAATCAACATATAATAATACTACAAATAATATTATCATTCAAATAATTTAACAAAATTCTTACTTATATTTTCTTTTTCTCATTTGTTCACTAACTAAGATTTTATTGCTATTTTTACTAAATATACATAGGCGTAAATAGCCTTAATTTTTTGGGGGGACTTAGGTCTCTCCCATAATTTCAGTAAAAACATTACCCCCCCATATCCGCCCAGTTCACAACTATAATTGTCAATATACAAATATAAAATATTAAATTTTAATATATATATATATATATATATTTATATTATTATTTTAATAAAATACGTCTTTCTTTTTCGGCAAATACATTTACAATATCTTCTACATTTATATTATTGTCCCCCCAATAAGTCCCCCCAAGCCACCCCTATTTGCGCCAATGTAAATATAATTTATAGACAATAATATTATTTTGATGCAGTTTCTCTAGTATACCATTATTTAATTTTTCAGTTATCACAAATATGTCACCAAAGTATAACATTCTGTTCATCATTTGTTAATAATTATTTTTTCTTTTTACAAACGTCTAGTTATAAATAAAATTCTAATTATGAATGTAGTTATTTATAGTGCTGTATTAGGCAAATCTTGCGCGATAAAATATTTAACTTCACTTAACACTTGATCTTTATTTTTTATTTTCTAGAAATTTTTAGAATTTTTTACTCTTATTTCCCCAATTAAATGTAAACTTTAACAGGCTCTTTTTTAATTTCACTTGGAGATAATCTCGAAAGACAGTTGAAATATTATTTTCAGATTTTATACAACTTATTTCAAAGTCATAAATTGATAATATAACTAAATATAACCTTTGATATCTATTTTCAGCAAGAACTGGTATTCCTTAGTACTTAATATGCTTAAAAGAGACTTGTAGTAACTTTTCAATTTAAGCTCATACCTCTTATACAATTATTGAATTTTTTTACACCAAACTAGAGCTTCATTATCTATTTGACTATAATTCAATTTTTTTTTATTAAACGTTCTTATATTTACCATCAAAATTGAAGTTCACATATATTTTTAATAAATGTATCTTCTGTAAATTAGATAGTGCTTCGGCATTAGATAAATTTCATTAGATTTCAATAAAAGCTTATAGTTGTTTTTGAAATTTTTGGGTATGGTAATGTGATTACAAATTTAACTTTCTCTGGGACTTACGGTCATGTCAGACCACAAAAATGTATAAGTGTCCTCATAGAACTTTGTACTATTTCAAATATGGACAGAAGAGTCTGTAATACATTATTTTTGTGTTATATATGTGATCGTACTAGACATTAAACCAAAAGGAATTAAGGTTTTATGCAAAGTATAATCGCCGAGTCTCCTCTTCAACATGCTCTCGCTGATTTATACAGTATTTTGCCTGTTAGTTGGAATGGTGTGTTTTACATATTTGCCGTTTTGCATAACAGTATGTTAATACTATAATAGTATGTTGTAATTATTTAAATCATTATTTTTTCTATAAAAATCAATTAACATCAATGAATATGTAAATGGTCTCATATCGTTGGATATAATTGAACAATGAAAATCACTTATATTAAATAAACGTTTATTAAACTTTAAAATTTGCGTATTTATTTAATAAATTAAATATTTATAATAAAATTTGGGGGCCTATTTTTGAATCGTCCATTCGACGAATGTATACGTTCGTCAAACGGATTCTATTGTTTCATTAGATATACGGCCTTCTAGGTATTGTTTGATGAACGTTTATGATCCAAGATTGTTTGAAATTTTTTGTAATAATATAAATAAATATTTTGAATTTATACAACTTGATTTTTAATATACAATTATAATAGTTATAGTTATATAATATATATAACTAACTATGCTTCTTTCTTTAATAATATTAGTGTTATCATATATGGAATTATTTTATTTGTTATAAATCTTTGTAGACAAAGCTACTTGACAAGAAATGTCAAGAAATTTTTTTCCCTTAACCCTGAAATCGATATTAACTTTAATTCCTTAAATAGCAACGCAATTTCTATTTTCATTAATCTTGTTTAATTCTCAAAAAAAAATCAATTTTAATAAAATCTAAACGAGATATCACCATTTAAAGTTTAGGGGATTTAATAAATAAAACAGTATTTGGGTAAATACAGTAACATTAATATTTAGTGTACTGATGAGAACTACCGATGTATTGTATTGTACTATAACCGGAAAAACTTAGGTACACTTACTCCTCTTTGACGTGAGTAATACTCACGTCCCCTAAACTTCAATGAATCATAGATCGCAAATAATTGAATAAAATAAAAAAATTTTTAAAACTTAATCTAATATGATTATATAAAAAAAATCCAATGCAGTGAGGACGTAGCATAGTTGCGTCCAGTAAAGATGATGTCTAACTGTGATTAAAATTACTATCATAAGAAACGCTTCAATGTAAATCTGTAGATAGTGTTTAATTTTAAAAAATTGGTGGATTATTCCAAAAGCAACATTATCTTCTATTTCCTTATTTATATCCTGATTAGAAGTTTTATGATTTATAACTGTAATATATAAATAAATATTTATTATAGCAATTAAATATAGTATTAAATTGATATTCAATGATTTAATACTGTAAGTTTTTACAAAAATCATAACTAATTATCAACTTTGATGTCCGTTTTCCTCATGAAAACAAAATAAAGTCCAAATTTTATATTAAAGTACATTAAAAAAGCTTTAATTTAAAATATATATAAAAGTGTCAGTATTTCCGAAACACTTTCAACAGTTAAGTTGAAAAAGTTTATTTTTTGTGAAAAAGCTGTCATTTTAATCCCCCCCCTATGGACAGGTAAAGGGTCAGATTTATAAAAAAATATTCAAAATGATAGGTAAATACCTCATGTATCTTGAAAAAAATATTATATTAATTTGGACATTTCTAAAAAAGTTATGGCAGTTTTAAGTAAAAAATATCAAAAATTAGCTATTTTTAAAATTGTATTTTTTTTTGGAGATTTTTCCACTTACGTGTAATGAGAAAATTTTTTTCAATTTTTGAGGGTAATGTCTTTGGCTAGATACGATTTTTGATCTTTTGACGTATCGTTGAAAGAAATTGGTTCAGCGAGAGCTTCATAGTAAAATTTATACCTTCTCAGCTTCACATCGAAGGTAAAAAAAAAAATAGGGCTACCATTTGTAAATTGAATGTTGATACTGATTATAGCATAAGGGATAATCATTAAAATGAAATTTTACTCACTAAACTATACATAATATTTCAAAAAAAAAAGAGAACTTATATTTTCAGAGATAATTTGTGAGGAATAGTTAATCAATCACTCTGTATATTGCTTTTTAATAACAATAATTTATTACTAAACTAACACGTGAATTTATAATTTGTTAATTTAATTCACTTAATGTAATTCGCCAAAATTTATATAAATAATTTAATTATACAAATTCTAAAAAAAAAAATGTATGTACGATTTCATACATGTAAATTAAAAATTATTAATGCACTTTAAACAACAATACTTAAATTTTCGAAAATAAAGTGCTCACATATATTTTATATAATAATTTTATTTTATTTATTTATTTTTATATTATAAATTATTATAATAATTAAATATAATTTATTAAATTATGTTACATATAAATAAATACATATCAATAATACATATAATAAGATTTTAGTACTTAATTCGAAAAAATGCCACCCACGGTCACGGTCTACCTTTAAATAAGCCACTGTTTGGAAAAGTTGTAAACATATAAATACATGAATAATTTTCACACAAATAATGTGAATATAATATTTTAACATTTTGAATTTTATTTTTAGAAAACGTAATATTTAAAACATAAATATTACTTTCTTCTGCACGTGTCAACACAAAAGGGGTAAAAATATATTTTGTATTATAATTATATTTTATTTATTTATTATTAATTAATACGGTAAATAATTAAAAACAATGTTAATTTAAAATTACATTTTAAGTAAATATGTTTACCTAAAATGTAAGTATAAGAGTCAAACCTTTTTATTGTTATAAATGACCATTCGTTTGATATTTCATACGTTCTGAACGTGTTCATAAACAACGTCCGCCATACAAACCTATGTAAAATAAAATCTGAACGTATACGTTCGTGAACGGATTATTCAATAATAGACCACCTGGTAATTATTGAAGCTTCTTTAATAATATTAATTAATTTAAAAATAAGTATAATATTTTGGCAATTAATTAACCGGCACAAAACTCAAACCAAACAATTTGATTATACATGTTTTATATAGTTGTAGGCATATAGGTGACCCAAATATATATTCAAAACTTAGTAAATTGTCTGTCATTTACAACCACAATAAAAAAAGTATCCTTTGTTGAACGATGACATTTGAGAATTTAAAGAAAGTTATATAAATATATATTTTTTTCGTTTAGCTTCAAAGGCCTGAAAGGCACATTGCTAAATAAACACTTCCTTTCATCTCTCTCCAACCATGTCCATCTCCCATAGTCGATTATTAGCCACATAACTGAAAAATTAAACGTGTATAATAGGTGCAATGAATCATACATGTCAACTTTTTACTCCAACACAGATGTCGTGTTATTAGCAAAGTATTTATATAATATTTTATATTAAGTGTTAAATATACAC